TGGGTAGGATAAAAAAAAAAAAAAACAATGTCTTTTATAGTACATTTGTATTATTAGAATTCAATGCAAAATGAAATTCTGTCCAACTTGATTTATAGAACATTTTGATTTACACGTATATACAATTAAAATAACGATTTAGCAGATTTTGTGTTTATAAAAAAATCAAATTTAAATGCAACAATTATCATTTTATGGTCAATAAAATATTAAAATATTTGTAGTAGATTTTTTCTGATTAAAAAAGAAAAAGTAATTGGTTCATTCATAATTGGAATTGTGGTGAAAGTCTCCCGAAGGTTGGCTAATAAATGGTCAGTTGGTCTTTATCGACAAATGAAATGGTCCAAACAAAACTAATCGTGCAAGAGAATGTTAAAATATTTTATCGCAAGATTTCCGGCTTATTTTTTTTTTAATTTTCGTTTTTTTTTTTATTTTTTTTTTCGGATACATTTGAACAGGAAAAAAAAAAAAAAAAGCAATCCAATTTGATGTATTTAGAATTTCAATTTTAAAAAGAGGATTTATTGGTGCAAGCTTGAGTTAAGGAAACAGTTGAACAAATCACCTAATTATAGAAACTAATTAATGCTAAAAGTTTTGACTAAAGTTTTAACTTGCCATTTTTAAAAAATAGTAATTCTTTTTATATATATATCGATTTACTACAACTACATTGTACCATTAAACATGCTCTGATAGCATAGAAATGTTGTAATGAGTAGTAAGCTAGGGGTCTCCTTGGCCCAAGAGTTTATTAAATTCATGAATTTTTCGAATTTTCACTCCCTTGAATCGTTGCACCGGCATTAACGCTCTAGATTGATTTCCAAACGGGAACTTATAGCCTCTGATTGTCTCTGTCTCTTGAGCCAAGGGACATCTAGCTTACTCGCTACAACATTTCTATGCGATTAAGTTTGAAACTTATTTTTAAAATTTTATAATGAAACTTATTTTGATATGAATATAATGTTACGTGCACCGTACGTGTTGTGTACTAAGCTTAAATAAACATGTTTCAGGTAAACTTGCACAATTTAAATTTTATATAATATTTGGAATATACTAATAAAGGTAAATTATACTACATATTGATTCCATGTTTTAAATTTATAAATATTTTTTAATGAGCAATTTTAATTTATAAATATTAATGAATGTTTTTTAATCGTGCATCGCACGAGATTCGTACTAATTAGGACAAACCAAAGTTTTTTATTAATTTGGTTGGATCTTACGATGAACCTCGAGTGTGTAGTTTATATTTTGGTATGTGAATTTCAAGAAAAATGGCTTTAAGAAATAGAAGGAATTTTGCTTAAACGAACAAAGTCGAGGCACGTAAGATACGCTCTCCTTAAGATGAAATTGCCCCGTATATTACCCACGGTTCATGGCTAACGCCTCCAAGATACAACGACTTTCGATTTGTGTATAGTGGTAACTCAAATACACAAACCTTCGGCGAACAATACTTATGTTTTGAACTCTCAAGATAGGAAAGAAAGAACAAAGAACACAATATGAATATGAACTTTGTAAAAAGATGCAAATGTTATGAAAATATTTTATTTAATGACCATTTCACTTCATGGGTATTTATAGATGTTATAATACATCTCCAGGGGGTTCAAGGAATCAAAAGATACCTTTTGGGACGTGCCCGGTCGATTAAAATCGGTTAGAAACCTTTTCGGTACGAACAGGTGCTTCAGCGTCGCGAGTTCGTCGCGCCCGCGACGCCCTTTCGCGTTCGACAGAAGCTCCGGGCGAAGAAGACTTCCGCGTCCGCGCCAATCTCGCGCCCGCGACGGGTCTTGTGCGCAGAGTGTCGCGCTCGCGACGGGGCCTGGCGCGCAGCTGCGCTCCGAAAGCTCGTACATATTCGTTTGGGCTCGGAATTTAGTTCCGTTTTTCCTACTTATCCCCAACGAGCCTTTCTACAATTAATGCATAATTATAGCTCGTTTAGTTTGTCTAAATATTAGTCAAACTTTTAATGTTTCGTGAACCCTACAACAATTGAATTACTTAAATTCAATTGTTCAATATATAACACTTAGAATTAATTTCTCATTCACCTTAAAATGGTTTTGAGAATTTTCTAAGTCTTCCACTAACTAAGAGTGGAACCATTAAGTTGGTACAAAACCAATTTTTTTCTTACAGAGTGTTCAATTCATGGTTGGTTGAGAAAGTTTGTATACATACACATAAATCAAGATTTTTCTTTAGTTACATAATGAAAGTCCTTATTTCACTCGGGGCTTGATATGGTGTTGCAATAATTTGTGCAGGTCAAAGATTATTATTCTAAGAGATGCATCGTTGTTCATATTCCTGCAGAGAAACCTCCCGAAGAGGTTGTCGCGAGATGATTCGCAAACTCTTGCATTTTGTTTCTGTTAGGTTTGTTTCATCTATGTTTTGGATGATTTTAAAAGGAGCCTTGTGTTTTTACTCGCTTTATGATGGCGACGAGATCACATTGGCATATTTATCACACTACGATCGGCTAAGGGTCTAGAAGATATTTATCGCATTTAGTATCTATTTTCCTTCTTTATTGGTTGTCTTATATTATTAGTTGTCCTTTATTTATTAGGAGAGTTATTATTATTTTTATATTTTATTTTAGG